ATAAATAAAAAATAATTATTTAGTTTGAACTAAAAAGGTACACCAGCCAACCACACAGACTTCCTCTGAGTTTCTTCTCTTTTGCAATACATAAACCATTAATTTGATTGATTTGCTTCAACAGTTTTTTGCATAAAACTCATCCAGCTGCAGGTAGGCATATAACCTCATAAACAGAAAGAGAGCCAGGTATGGAAATGAGGTTTCATCACTGCCTCTTTTAAGAAGCCTCAGTATTGGACTCAAAGACCTCATTCTGAAGTTAGTCAGTTCAGATGAATTTGGGGGAAAAAAAATAATAATAATGAAAGGGTGTCATTCACGTGTCTTGTAACCTAACTGGAATCTGTCCTCCAAATAGATTAGTCTTTTCTTTTGCTCTTTACGGCTTCTGCACCAGCAAGCTCACTCGAAAGTGGCTCTAGTGTCGACCTGCTCTTGCTAGGCTTTACCATCGCTACCTGCATGTACGCTGGCAGCACACTGCAACCGCTAGTACTTCACGTAGGAATAGATTTCTCCTTTGTGAAGATAAACAAATGTCAAGTCCACGATATCGAGGGACGGAGTAATAAAAGCCAAGCTGAAGGAAAAAACAAACAAACCCAGGGTGGGGCTATGTATTTTAAGAAGGTCAAATGTCTTCTTCTGGGATTCCTACATCTATTGTTTTCACTTTAGTGGTTAATATTCTTGCTGATGACCAAAAAATAAAAATAAAAAAAGGAAGTTAAAAATGCTGATCGGCATAAAATGCAAACGGCATAAATTAAAAAAAAAAAAACATAAACATCAACAACAGAGAAAGCATTAGCTAGAAATGAAACAAATTGAGACGTTCCCAAGACTGATCCTTTCATTAACAGGAGAAGTAGAAAAAGGAAATGAATTCACTCTGGACCATTTTACTTTGTCCCGGGGCATGGGCTCTGTTGTCCTCCGAACGCCTTTCCACTGGCTCGCGCAGTGCCAACATTAACTTTCTGTCCTGAAACAGCCAGAACAAACCAGAAAAAAAAGAGCCAGCCAGACTAACCGGTAGCACAGCCGTGGCCATGGACAATCCGGGTCTGTGCTTAAAGCTCCTGCGCAGACACAATCCCCTCCACAAAGCTCCTTTGCCGGTCTCTTGCTATGTGCAGGACACTGAAGTTAACTCTCGACCTGGGGAAAGTGCTGCAACGAGCAAGGCCCAGGCAGGAATCAAAGCGAACTTTAGTCCTCCTGGACGTGCTCCCTTCCTGCCCCCATCTGCTGTGCGTTAGCTCATACCGGACATGAAAGCTGGAGAGCGAAAAAGAGCAGAGCCAGAGCCTGCCGCGCTCCTCACATGCTGGCTGAACTGGTCACGCAGCAATTAATGTCCTCCTGGTCTCCCAGCACACATCGGTCTCGGGGTTGTGCGCTGCGGAGGGCTTTAATTAAAAGTTAAGATTTATCCAACCAACCATCTCGTTCCCGTCTCTCTGCTATTAATTTTCTGCTCAACCTGCGTTCAGAGCTGGCTGACTTTGGACCTTTATTATTTTACTATTTCAAAACTTTGCAACACTGGACAGAAGGCAGAACCAGACTCCTCCTTGAAAAGTGAAAATTAGTGACAAACAGCAGACAAAATGGGAACAAAAGCGTCGTTTCAAAGATACGTGTTAAATACTCACAAATAACCTGATTGCAGTAGGTAGCAATGTTCAACTATCTGAAAAAGGAATGATCGGAAACAAATGATTTCTCTTTCTACAGTGTCATTGTACTACTTAGGCCTGTTGCTTGCCGCAGGCTTGGTACTTTTGCTTATCACCAGCTCAAGATGTTCAATTTTCTTCAGTTTGGAA